GTCACAGTTGATAATGCAAACACCCCAAGGAGAGTTTCCTAAAGGAATTTTAAAGCTGGAACATGGCCTCACAGAAAGCTGTGGAAATGCTTCCGTTCTGTACTTCAGGAACCCAGCCAGCATCCACAGGATGCAAACTGGAGTCACTGATGAAGAAAACCAAAGTATCATGGTGCTTTGTATACACTGCCATCCCTGGTGACACACCAGGCTCTCCCACACGGCGTCACCTTTGATCTTTACTGCCCTCGTGACCGTGACTGAGACACCCAAAGGGAGATTAAGTTTGTTTCTCTGCTATTGTCTTGGAAGTGTCTCTACTTTGCATTGGTTTTATCGGCTGACCCACTGGCAACCATGTCCCTAAGTGCCTGCCAGCACGGAGTCCCAGCACCTGACAGGGTCTCTGTGAGTGGCACCTGCCAGTCCTTAGCCTATTCTGCCTGACTATTTTTTCCTAAACTGTTCATGACAGCCACATGAGAAGGGCTGTGACCCCCATATTGCCTCCAGTATCTCATGTAGCTCAGACTAGTCTTGAACTCCCTACATAGCTGAAGATGATCTTGAAGCCCTGATCCTCCTGCCTCTACCTCCCAAGTGCTGGGATTACAGGTGTGTGCCACCAAGCACCACTTCCGGAGCATCTCTGAATGAGCATACCTTCCTTGTTTTAAAGGTCTAACCCTGGCACCTTTCAAGTAAAGGGGAGTGCCTGTCCCTTCTCCCTAGACTACTCGCTCACTCTCAGCTGGTGCCTGGTTCCCACCCATCACACATCACAGTGCCACTTCCAACTCTGCCACAGTTACTGCCTGAAACTCCTCCCCCTCCTGCAGCCAGAAAGCAGGCTTCTCTTTCCTGGAGGTCCCAGGACCTCAGGAGACAGCCTAAAGACACCAGAGGACAAAATAAAAAGATACCCTAGGACAAAAAAAAAAAATGGAGGTACCCAGGCTCTTAGCTCTCCCTTCCTGTATCTGCTGCCTCCTTGAGTGCCTATGTTAATGATTAAGCCAGCAGCTTGCTGGTTAATTTCCAATTAGCTGTGTCTTGTAGTCCAGGCCTTCCTGCATATCAGAGTGCACAGAAACCACCTGAGACTTGTTAAATGTACACTGGTATCCGACCAGTCTTCTGGGGGTGGGCCCCAGAATTTGCATTTCTCAATAATCAATGTTACTGGTTCCTGCCCCACACTCTGAGTAGCAAGGCTAGAGAGTCAAAATCCAGGGTCTCCTAGGAGTGTTGCTTGTCTGCAAGTGTTTATTTAATAGTGAGGAACTTGTGATATTATCAAAACATGCCATGGAGAACAAGGACAAGGGATGTAACCCATGGTTACCTTCCATAGGGAACAGCCAACAGGCCAGACTTGGGTATACACCTTTATTGGCACCAGTTGTCACAAGAGCCGGAAGGCTAGGAAATAGCAGGGAAGGCATTTTTGTGCCCAGGCTCCTGAGTTCCTGAGAGAAAAGCGCAGGTTCTGTGTCTGGAGAGGGAACAGAAATTGGGGCGTAGGTAGGCTGGTAGGGTACTAGCACTCATGAGGTCCTGCGTTCTCTCCCTGGTACTGCATAATCTGGATGTGGGGTGCACATCTGGAATACGGCACTTGGGAAATGGAGGCGGGAGAATCCAAAGTTTAGTCATCCTCCAGTACATAGCGAGTTTAAGACCCCAACTCAGAGAAAAATAATGGGGGACAACATGGCACTTAACCCTGTTGGTTTAAGAACCTCCGAGCTACAGGGAGAAGCGGGGTAAGGGGCTACATTTCCAAAGCTTGTATGAGCTCTGGACCCCAGGTGACCAGATACAGGTGAGAAGAGCCACCCCTGCCTGCCACCCTGCACAGGGCCAGCAGAAACTGGGAAGAAATGGTGACAGCAATAAGTCAAAAGAGGGAGGGGTCAGAAGTTGCATAGCAACTGGGGGAAGAGGAGGAGCCACAGGAGACTTAAGTGGTTCAATGCTCTGTGGACTGAGGTTGCAGGTAGAGGGCCTGTGTGAGCGGATTGCTGGGACTCAGCACACTGGGCATTGCTATGAACATGGCCCCGTTTGCTCCTGGAGCTGGCAGTAATGATGACCCTTCTCTCCGGCTCCCTTTCCTCCAGATGGGCATTCCGGCCATTGCCTGGCATGCTCTCCCCAGCTCCTCTTTGCTCTCACTGGTTCTGAAGTGGCCTAAACTCTACTTGAACAGTCTCTTGGCCAGCGTTCTTCTTGCCAGTCTACTGCGTCCGTCACATTGTCTCTCTCTAGGACACTTGAGGAGGCTGGCCTGCTTTGAGTCCTCAGGGGCCATCTCTGGGGACAGCTGCTCTTTCCTTCCTGTCCTTGGGTTTAGTGTTTCCTGCCAGTTCACCTACAACTGCGTGGCTTTGTCACCCACTGCATGAAATCCCAAAAGGGTGGAGTTTCCATGCCTTGAGGTTTCTTTCTTTGGCCTGAATTGTTAAACCTAACTCGAGCAGAGGAGATCTTAGTAGCTTGGCTGAGTGCTATGTAAGAAAGGCTATTCGGTAGATCCTTTCGGAAGGACCACCTTGTGCCCGCTTCTCTTCCAGCCATATAGATGCTAGACCACCACTGACTAGGGCCATCTGATTACTCCAGACTTCCGGGCCACTGGTCAGTGTCTACAGCACTTCAGACACCCCAGGCTGGAGGGAGACTTAGCACACTTCTCCCTGTTAGGGTCTAAAGGTAAGATATAGCCCCCAGATTCCTGTGTTTGAACAACTGGGCCCCCAGAGAGATCCTGTTTGGGAAACTGCAGAACCTTTAGAAGGTGGAGCCCAAGGGAGGAAGCGGCTCCTTGAAAGGCCCGGTCCTCTCTCCTTGTTCTGCTGAGATATGAGCAAGGGCCTGTCGCATGCCCCTGCTGCTGAGAAGCCATCTGTCACCACACCTTGCCTGCCACAGTGGATTCTATCTGCTCAAACCGTGAGCCAAAACAAACTTTGCTTCCCCAGAAGTTACTTTCTGTCAGATGTTTGATGACATAGAAAAGTAAGAAGTACATTCCCTATAGGGTTACAGAAAGCACTAGAAAGGCAAAGTCCCAGGGTTGGACTGGTCAGTGGGTCACTGACTCCACAGTAGGGCACCTGCCCAACATACCTATGGCCATGGAGTTCATCCACAGCACCACTAAAGTAAAAAATAAAATAAAAATAAAATTTAAAAAACCTTCAAGATTTCTCTGTGAAGCCCTGGCTGTCCTGGAACTTACTCTGCAGACCAGGCTGGCCTTGAACTCAGAGATTTGCCTGCCTTTGCCTCTGGGGTTAAAGGCGTGCATCACCACTGCCCATCCGCAATTTTGTTTTTTAAAGAGCAAACTCACGTGTCTTCGTTTCCTCAAGTCTGTTTGGATGGGTTAGACAGATACAAAGACACCTGACACCGATGGGTCAGTACCTGCACCTGGGACTTGTCCCTGGGTTGTGTGTGTATCTGAACAGAGAGAGTCCCCCTCCCTGTTACTGTACAGAACAGAAGAGCGACGTGGTCACTTTTTTAGAGTGGAATGTGGTGGTGTACACCTGTAATCCCAGCCCTCAGGATATTAGGGCAGGGGGATTGCCACGACTTGGAGGCTAATCTGAACTACATGGTGAGTTCAAACCCTTGCCCCCCAAACCCTCTTTTAAGTGATGTTGACTTCCTAGTAAGACCACATCAGTGAACCACAAATAGCTGAATAGTAAGCAATTAAAATAATTTTAACAAGGGTGTTTCAAAAATATACAGTTTTATGGGGATGGAAAGGTTGGTCAGTGGCTAGGAACACCTGATGTTCTTGGAGAGGAGTAGAGTTCAGATCCGTGCATCCACAGCGGCTGCTCAGCAACACTGTCCAGTCCAGGGGGTTCAGTGCCCTCATCTGGTCTCTACCTACAGAGACCTGCACGCACGTGCCCATACCACCACACATGCATATAATTTAAAAATAAATATTTTAAATATAGATTTCATTCATATTCATGAGAAATGAATGGTTCATTTGGGAAATAGTGGAGCTGGTTGCAAAATAAATAATAGGTAAATGTTTTGAATGATTTTGTGCCAATTAATAATACAAATGAAATGTATGAATTCCATGGAAGACAAATATTGCCTCGCTACACTGTGCTGTTATCTGAGAGTTGGGTACACCTGATTGGCAAGACACTTCTCATAAATATTCAATAACATGGTGGTTTATGTGATCCACTTGACTTTCTGATAAAAATCCCTAAGAAGGCTTGTGTTGAAATAGAAATCCTGTGTCAACAAAAGTAAAGTCACAAATCCAGTCTCAGGAGGACTGTGTAGGGTGCAAAGGCTATCTGAATACAAATATTTGTATATGAAAGCACCTATCAATAGGCAAGCAGCCCCTGATAAATATACAACCACAGCTGCAGCCAGTGAGCAGACAGCAGTCACCACGCAGACCATCAGCCGGCACTGAAGCAACTCTTCTTGGAGCCTGAGTCGTTTTGAACAATAGTTCTGGTGCATTAGGTTGTCCTTTGTAATCACGAATTAAAACGAACTTTCCGGGTCTGCGGAGATAATGGAACAGGTAGCCGGGTGGTAGTGGTACCTACCTTTAATCCCAGCAGAGGCAGGCGGATCTCTGTGAGTTCAAGGCCAGCCTGGTCTACAAGAGCTAGTTCCAGGACAGGCTCCAAAGCTACATAGAAATTCTGTCTCGCGGGCTGGAGAGATGGCTCAGAGGTTAAGAGCACTGACTGCTCTACCGGAGGTTCTGAGTTCAATTCCGAGCAACCACATGGTGGCTCACAACCATCTGTAATGAGATCTGGTGCCCTCTTCTGGCCTGCAGGCATGGAGACTGAACACTGTGTACATAATAAATAAATCTTTAAAAAAAAAAAGAAATTCTGTCTCGCAAATAAAAACAAAAAAAAGCAGAAAATGGAACAGATACTAGACACAGCAGTGGGCATCAACGCCTCAGCAAAACAGCCAGAGCTCACCTTTGCCCTAGCTGTAAAGTCAGTCAGCATCCCACAGGGCAAAACACAGTCACATCCTGTTCCCAGAGCTGGTGATAAACAGGTGAGCATCCTGATGTCCCTGCAGACAGACTGAAAAAAAAAAAAACTCTCTAAAGTGGATGAAGAGTCCAAACAAAAGAGATTGTCAGCATAAAGCAGACTAAGAGAAAGCATTTTTTTCCACCTCGGGCGGGATTCAGATTAGGTGTGGTTTTTCTCTAACCTGAAGAAGGAAAAGGATGATGGACACTCGACACGGCATCAGATGTCCACAGAGCACCCACTCAGAGAAGCAGAGGCTGGGAGAGCATCACAGATGCTGACAGGGTCCAGCATCCCCCCTCTGTGGCACACCCTGTAAAGACGGGAGTGAGGTGCCAGCCATAAGCTCTGGTGTGTGCAGCAAGCAATCAGCACACTGTGACCACAGTGCCACCAAGGCAGGATGCTTCCCTGCAAAAAAACAGTTCCACCACAGAGCCCACACCCCTCTCTGAGGGCATCAAACACAGATGGCCTCAAACCTCCAGTCACCCCTGGCAGCTCCTGGCTTCCCTAGGGAGTGATGGCTAAGTTTCTTTAGAAAACCTTTCAATACTGTTTCTTACCATGTGGCAAAAGAAGAAGAAGGAGAAGGGGAAGGGGAAGGGGGAGAAAGGGGAAGGGAAAGGAGAAGGAAAAGAAGAAGAAGAGGAGAAGGAGGAGGAGGAGGAGGAGGAGGAGGAAGAGGAAGAGGAAGAGGAAGAGGAAGAAAAGAAGAAACATGGCTTGCAAGAGTGGAGTCTACTAAATAAATGGATTTGCATACCAAGTTATTTCCAGGACTGAGGTGCATAGCAGTGTACAGGCATTAGATGAGGGAAGCCATAGGTGGTATTAATGAAAACAGCCTGCAGCCTGAGTCTGTAACCTTCAGAATGTGCCAGGCAAGCATGTCAATCACATACATGGGGTTTTCTACCTTTTTGTCCTCTCTCTCTCTCCCTCCTTCCCTCCTTCCTCTTCCTCCTCCTCCTTTTGAGACAGGGTCTCTTTGTGCAGCCCTGGCTACCCTGGATCTTGCTATGTAGACCAGGCTGACCTCAGACTCAGAGAGATCACTGTACCCCAGCCTCCTGACCTCTGGGATTAAAGGTGTGAGCCACCATGCCCAGCTATTCTGACCCACATTTTATCTAAAACTTCTCAGTCAGTTTTCTGCAGGTCCAGCATGCCTCTGGCTGGTAAAAAGGCCCCCATCTCCAGGTAGGCACTATCTCAAACCCCTGTTCTTGCTGTGTTGGCACTGAGGGCCCCTCTATGCCCGTTTTCCCACGCATTACCTTCTGCTGCCTGACTTGCTCCGTTCACCCGTGAGTCCCACACAGAGACTCCACACTCACACCCAGCCTGATCAATGATGGTTGACAGAGGCCGGAGAAACACAAGAAAGCTGCCCAAAATGACAACTCCTAGGTGTCACACATGCCCTGGAGTTCTCCACGGACTCACTGAGAGGTGACCCCACATGTGAGTGTTCCCCCCTTACAGACATGTGCACCTATAAAGATGTGTGTGTGTGAACATGCCAGTGACGGATCTCCCAGAGCTCACCGGAGTGCCTTTCGACAGTATTTCATAGACCCCTCCTTTGCTCAGGTCCTCCAGAGACCCCACGCCCCACTCTGAGTCATCCGCTAAGGACACACATCTTCCACCCCAGCACCAACCCTCTGTACAGTCCCAACGGAGGAACTGAGATGCTCTGACCGCTGCCCTGGCCCCTCCAGTTCTAATACCACAGTTACCATGACGTTGCTGTGTCGGCCACACTGGCATGGAGTAGACTCTCAGTAATTACGTGTGAGTGAATGAGTGGCTAGTTCGTGGCAGTTATCAGTGGTTGTCCTGGTAACCTAATTTTAAAGCTATTATCCTAAAAAGAGATATCGTCGAGAAAATGGAAAGAATGAAGAAAATGTAAGGAAGAAAGTTACTAAACTAAGAAAGTGTCATGCCTATGACTGGCTGTATGAGAGGAAGGTAGTTAATTGTAGGTTGAAGAAACACAATGCCAGTCTCCAGATGGCATGTGCGTCAGGAAGGCGGAGTTTCTGACAGTTACTCCAGGCAACATAGGAAACTTTCCTTTTTCCCCATAAAATGAACAGATACTTAGTGCTCTATTCCATCCTGCAAAAAGTCCACCGTTCATGATCTCTGTGTGTGTCTGTGTGCACATGTGTGTGTTCATGTGTGCACATGTGTGCCTGTGTGTGTAAGAGTGACCCAGTGTCTTCCTAATCACTCTCCACTTTATTTCTTATATGTAATTAATATGTGTGTTCACTCACACACAATAGTGTACAGTCGTGCGAATGTGTGAGTCTGGAGGTCAGAAAATGTGAAGCTGGCCCTCTCCTTCACCTTCACAGGGATTCCGGGGCTCAAACTCAGGTCACCAGGCTCAAGACAAAAGTGCCTCTACCAGAGAAGCCTTCTCATCTCTCTTTCTCACTGCAGGGGAACTCACTGCCTGGCTAGACTAGCTGGCCAGCCAGCCCCAGGGATCTCCCTGCCCTCTCCCCAGCAAGGGATATAAAGCCTATGTCGTCACATCTGACTTTTAACCTGGGTACTGCAGATCTGAACTCAGATCCTCCTGCATGGCAAACACTTGGCCCACTGAGCCTTCTTTAGCCTCCCAAACTGTTGCCACACTCCTAAGAGCTCTTAAGAACCCGCACACTGTGCTTTTGTCCCAGCCAGCATCCTGGAGTCCAGGGAGGAAGCCCACTCTGCTTCTACGTCTACCCCTGCACCTCCACCAACATGCTTCACCGCTTGGTACTGGCCATGAAGAAAATATAAGCAACTAAACAGAGAGAGGCCGGGCAGATGTGCTGGTTTTGCTTTATAACAGACCAAACGGTATAGAAAGCAGGAAGCAACCATCACAGATGGCTGGGACACAGGACGCTAGACTGTCAGCGGGCTCCCAGAGTCCCTCCTGGCAAGCTTGGTGACTGTCTTCCTCTCACGGTGTTAACATCTTCAGAACACACCCTCTTTAAGAGCAGAGAAAGCTCTGCAGCTGTCTGCTCTGGGCATAAAACAATCAGGTCATCAAAAGTCTAACTTAATAAAGCAGTGCTCAAGGAAAAGCACCAAGTGACTTCCACAGCCAACCCCAGCAAATTTTCCACCCACAAACTGGGACTTTCTCTTAAGTCAGATGCTGGGGCCTCTGCAAGCCTCGGGCTGCAGGTGTCCCCAAATCTCAAAATATAAAGGGAGTTGATGCTAATATACTCAACTTCTTTGTTTCCTTTCTATTTTTGAAGTAGAACCTATCGTTTTGGTTTTCTCAACATGTGCACAGGTTAAGAACATGACTTGGGACATGATGTCCTTACACTTGCTTTTATGTTAACCAGTCTGGCCTGCCAGGCCCGTCTTTAGCATCAGTGCAGAGGCGGCTACCTCTGGCACCATCTGCTGTTACCCAGGCTATGTTATTACTGACAAGTGCCAGTTGTCTGCAAGAAACCTTTGATGTGTGAACTACTGGAGTCTCTGACCAGACACACGTGGGTTTTATACATGTGAGAGAATGTGTCTCAAAGAGAAAATGCACGCTGAACCCAAGCTGTTTGTCTTCACGTCTATAACCCTATACTTGGCTGTGAGAGAAGGACGCTGTGGTGCCCAGGTCCTCTGTGAGAGCGGGACCCTGTGGTGCCCAGGGCCTCTGTGAGAGCGGGACCCTGTTGTCCAGGGCCTCTGTGAGAGCAAGACCCCGTGACACCCAGGGCCTCTGTGAGAGCGGGACCCTGTGACACCCAGGGCCTCTGTGAGAGCGGGACCCTGTGGTCCAGGTCCTCTGTGAGAGTGGGACTCTGTGGTCCAGGGCCTCTGTGAGAGCGGGACCCTGTGACACCCAGGGCCTCTGTGAGAGCGGGACCCTGTGACACCCAGGGCCTCTGTGAGAGCAGGACCCTGTGGTGCCCAGGGCCTCTGTGAGTCTCCTTGCTGGCTCCCTTGCTCCCTCACTCCCTCTCTCCCTCCCTCCATAAATACACTTCAGCTCTAGGATATGCCTATTAATTATTCTGAGCCACTTTGAAAAGCAAATTGAGCTCATGAAATCATTTTATATGCTTTCTTACTGCAAAATATAAGGTAAAAATACTTAGTGACATGTTTCTTATACGTTAATTTCAATGTATAATGGAAACTTGATACACATGCCAGCTTCCCCCCAGAAGCTTCAATAAGTTTGTGCGTGTGTGTGTGTGTGTGTGTGTTTTAAATCAACTTTTGAAAATGCCAGGGGAGAGCTTTAACTAGAAATGTGTTGATTGGTGTAAGGACTTTATTATAAAACTGTGAGAAGAGGGTTTGGGGAGAGGGGCTTGCTTGGTAAAGTGCTTTCTGCATGAGTCTAATGCCCTGAGTTCCATCCTCAGCACCCATTCAAAAACATAAACAGATGGGTGCAGTGGAACCTGCTTGAAACCCCAGCACTGGGAAGACCATAAGGTAGATCCATTGCCACCAACCGAGTTTAATTGACAAGTTCCAAGCCAAATGAGAAACATTGTCTCAAAAACAAATTGCTGAGCTACTGAGGAACAACACTCAAGGTAGTCCTCTGGTATGAACACACACACACACACACACACACACACACACACACTGTGAGAGGTGTTGGAAGAGTCATGTGACCCACAGCCATGGAAGGTAAAACCCTAAGAAGCCAAACCCACTCTAAACAGCAGCCAGCTCCTCCCCATTGTAATCCGTAGGTCTGTCCGAGGCTATGTCAACACTGCATAAGTTCCTGAGAGAACAGGAGGAGCTGAGGGGTAGAGGAGTTAGGCTCATAAGACAGTGGGGTTTCCCAAGCTTTCCCCACCTTCCTGGAGAGTCCCGCAGGAGCCCATGCCTGTGGGATCTGCTTCTCTGCAGAAGCTCCGTGAGTGGGAAACACAGATAAGGGACACATGGCCTGTCCCGAGGGAGTGTACAGTCTCTCGGGAGGTAGGCGTGCATCTGATCAAAGGGCATGCGTGAGAAGGACATGTGTACATGCATGTAGATGTGGAAGC